AAGCCCATGAATTGCGTGGTTGGCCCGCTGGACAGTGGTCTTCATTATACCCTCGTTTGTGGCATTTCTTACTAACATGCTTCTTAAATGGACAGAAGTGAACAAAATGCCAATCGCCACACTGCCAGAACGCTGATGGTGGTATTCTGGGTGTGGGATCATAGGACTTCTGTGGCGAGATCGACGTAGTCCTAGTGATAGCATGAACATTGGTGGCGGCAAACGAGGAACTGGGTTGCTCCACGATCGCAAAATCATGCTTGAGATTATTCAGCCGCTGACACTCGGCCGTCAATGTCTGCAGAGTTGAGTCTAGGTCCTGTTCAATTTTGGAGAGCAGATGCGTCCGGATTTCAGCATTACGAGGTGGCTGCAAGGCGCATACAAAGATGAGGCACTTGAATTGGTCATCGGTCAATTCTCGGAGCTTGAACCGTTCACACTCGCGGTTGACAGTTCTTGCTAGTGTCAGAAAATCATCTGCCTCATTTTTCATCAGCTTGACACACTGGTAAATAATATTGAACAAGGAGGACTTTTCACTGAAAGTCTCTGACAGGCGCTGAACGGTTTCATCGAAATTGAAGTCACGAGGGTTTTCGGCAGAATGATATCCGCGTAGCGCTCGTGTTCTCTGGTGCCCAGTTTGCGTAAAAGCAGGCGCACCTTCCATGCATCGTTGGCCTTGGCAAATTCCATGCGGAATATGTTTTCCCAACGTTTGAACCAAGCGTCAAAGGTAACGCCGAAGTAGGGGTCCTAAATGAACTCAGCGATACAAGCAGCAGTTGCGTCCGCTGATGTGGACAATTTCACAGAAGAATCTGGGTCAGACAAATGCAAACTGAATTTCTGCATCATAGACTCAATCACCTTCATGTGTGCCTCTTCGAATGGCTTTGACTGTTCTTGCAGGATAGCAAGCACTTTTTCTGATGAAATAGACTTGGTGCGTTGAGTTCTGCGTCGCCAAATGTTGTAACGGAAGCCCAGGCCGAGATATCACCGCCCAATAACGCCTTGTGTGAGTCCCCAAAGTAAGAACACGACAAAAAGTGTGCGACGGCAGAAGTCTTTTAGTGTTAGAAGTTCAACGTATTTAGGACAACAAACCGTGTAAACGATGTCCATTGAGCCTATCAGCTCCTCTCCTGCAATGTTCGCTGGTAGGATTGGCTGTTGGCTCAGTGAGTGAATGTAGTTAGAAATTCCAATTATTGACTGATTGTCTTGCACGACGCGTTAGCTCGCGCGTAGGCCGATCGATAGCCTATCGTGGACGCGGCTACTTGCTGCCTCTTTGCTAACCGTTGGGTCTAGCTAACACTATTGACTAAACATAAACAAAAACAGAGCCAATATTCGAGTGCAAAAGAAGGGGTTTGTTTTAGGCTTTTCCTGTGATAGAAGGGTTTTGACGGTGCCAAAGAGGTGCCTTACTAATTAAACTTTATTATTATTATTAGCCGAGTAAGAAAGTGCAGTTATTTCATAAATATTGCGACAAGAGAACCATGAATGAAACCACTTTCGAATCACACGTTTTCAGTTCCAGTCTGTTGGAACATGAATCTATTGTCGCGACGTGAGATCTGGCATAATTTCTTTTCACGGCCACTCTTTATCCGGCCACCCGAGAAAACACTGCTGGTTCAGTGTTCCTGACGGATACCGTAAACGAATCCGGACGGTCCTTGTTGCTGTAGTGGACCTTTCGGCCCGATTAATTGACGTCTGATAGATGCTTACAGTTTGATTGCGCCTGTAGCTTTTCTTATGAAGTATCAATCAATCGATTACGAGACGTAAAGCAACGTCATTAGCTAAAGCCTATGTGGAAGGAATTCGTATCTTATCGTTCTGC